AGATCGGCTTTTCTAAAGAAAAGGCATGCTTGTGTTTTGTTTGCATTGAATTTTTGCCAAGTCCATATTTATGCTGTCAACATTTCTCCCTCGTTCGTTTCTGATTTGCCTGGCTGGTATTGGAGCCCTGGAAGAGAAGGCGGTATGAAGGATATTATCATCCGCGAAGCTGTGTACTGGACATGAAGTTGCTCCCAACAAATCGTTGATATGGAGTAGGAATAGTGTTGGTGCTAGAATTTAACCTTGCGGAACACCAGTATTGATGATGAGAGAGTCATCAGATGAAACTCGGTCGACCACTACATGGAGAGACCTGTTTGAGAAAAAACTAGCTAGCAGAGAACATAGCTGGGGAGGCAAACCATGAGATGGTAGCTTGGCAAGGAGTCCGTGGTGCCAGACTCGATCGAATGCCTTGGAGATATCAAATTGCAAATCCAGGTACACTGATAAAAATGGGTGAAAAAAAACATAATATTTTCTGTAAAATATCGCAATATTTGTCTTGCTTTTTCACTAAATTAAGTACATTTGCCACTGAAATGTATATTTGTTAGGTGAAAATATACATTTCAGGTACTCATTATGTTTTTTCATACTTTATCAGAGCACGTATGAATAATACCTTGTAATTCAAATGTACCCTGTGAATATCTATCATAATGCGGATTTCCTTTAAAAATACGTGAATATGCAGAAGTTCTGTAAAATTCAGTAACCTGTTCTGGAACCCTTCACGATAGCTCGCGTTCGTTCGCTCAAAAATGTCCTTGAAAATAACTGCACTTGCGCACTGATTCCATTCACAAGCTGCATCTTGTTACATCAAGCGGTGTTTGGGGTGTTGTTTGTTGAGTATAGAATGGGTAATTTATTAATTAACAGTGGAAGTAGGTGAAAACAATTCGTTTTTTACACAGTATCGAAAAATATAAGGTATGCATATATCTGTGAGACGTGTGATTTTAAGTGAACAACCATGAGCAAATAAGACATTCACCAGTGTTTGCATAGGCAAAACCAGAGTGCCAAATCTTTATGCAGGCCAACTGTGAGGATGGTTCACACAAATTACGAAACATTCAAGCAACATGTATTCAGAAGCCATGCAGCAAGCTTGGCTTTCAATCCAGGTGCTATTATCATTTGCTTGGTGATTCATATTCAGATATGATTATAACGATGGAAACATTTCACAAATCATGTTTTGCAACATGAAACAGATAATCGTGCCGAAGAATGTCCTTTGAAGAAAAACCGCAACAGTGAAACTATTACACTACACTGTTTTACCACTAACCATACCGATTTTTTAACGCCTCGACACGTGTTTCGCTAACTATGTTAGCATCTTCAGGAGAAGATTAAAACTAAACTAAAACTCAGTTTTAATCTTCTCCTGAAGATGCTAATATAGTTAGCGAAACACGTGTCGAGGCGTTAAAAAATCGGTTTGGTTAGTGGTAAAACAGTGTAGTGTATTATCGTGCCAAAGGTTCCAGTCTTCGATATAAGTGAAACTATTATCACAACTGAACAGCATCCCCGTATTCACATGACTTAATATAATAGTAATTTACGAAACGAGTCCAGAAAATACTGTTTCTTTGGACGAGTAGATAAAATTCTAGGTCGATTCGTGGGCGAGTCCTGGAAGTCTGCGAGTCCAAAAAAACTGTTTTTGGACCTGTTCCGTACACTATGTTTTCGGCAATCATGTATAGAATAAAAAATCAATGAGACACATTTCCATATTATATTGCTTTGTAGAATACAATTTCTTCATTATTAACTCTCATTTGTCTCAAATACTGAAATTTGAACAGAATTACTATAGCTACTAACTGTTACATTGGAAATTTTGTATGGACATTTTCCAAGTCACTATCGCGGCTGCTTTCGATAGTTTATTGCGATAATTGCAACCAATTTTTCAAAAATCAAAATGTCAACTAATTTCATGTCAAATTGCTGTCAGCCGATATTTCGCTGCTATAGTAGTTTCTATCTGCATTTATCAAAAGCATATCTACCAAGATTTTCATAGTAACAGTGACAACAACGATGTGATACTTCCCGGCCTAGTCCGGGTAGGACGTACTTCCCGGACTATACCGGAAAAATGCTACTTTCTCAAAGAAAAAGCCTTCTTTGAAAGAGAACTGATTTTTCACGTAGACATTTTATTTACTCACATGCTTTCTACAAACATGATTTTACTGATGAATCAAGTAAAATCTTCATGATTTATATTGACTGTGAAATAACAAAATCATGAAAATCACATTGTTAAGTATCACAGATATGGATACTGTCATTGCGAAAATGTAACATCATTGAAACATTGTTCGAATAAATCAGAAATTTACTCGCGTGCATCAATTTTCGATTTCTCGACCATTTCACGAATTCTTCAATAATATGAACATCAGAATATTTTTCAAAGTAGGTACTGTCCTGGTAGAAACGGTTAACAATTTCCTGCAACTCCATCTTCTATTACAGGGCGGTGCTGATAATACGGACAATATTGTGAACTGCAGTTGAATTCAGCGAACAAAACAATAATTAATTTCTGCTTCGAATAAGTTCAGAAAGAAATGAGGAAAAATATTTCCCAGTACCTATCCGAGCGCAATAATAAAACAATATTTCCACCTCTAGCTCTAGAGCCTACGATAACTTCACTTTCTTTAGAGTAGACAACTGGTATTTCACTAACAAAATATTTTTTTATCATCTATATTCGTGGTGTTACCAAGCAATTGAATCTCGTTGATTTCTGACATAATTATAACCCCTGATAACACAATGACTTCATTGTGTTATTAATTCAAAAATTCAAATTCAAATGTAAAATTCCAAGCAATTACACCTCTGTCGATAGAGCATCACCTAAGAGATAATCAGATGGCTACAATTTCACTATTATCTGTTACAGCCGTAGTGAAGGTATAGTGTATAACTCGCACGGAATGCTAATTTACCACTCCTATTTGCAGTATGAGCCGTGCTCGTAAAACAATAAACTATTTTCATCGATATATTTTAAGGCTTTAAATGTGAGAAATGTTGATATTGGCAATGGAACTGTCGAGATGTTCACACGAATCTACCCAATCAGGTCAAACCTATCCAGGCATGCTATCTGTATATCCGCATCACATGATCCACTCCATATCCCTTTCAGAAAATATTTCTAGTGGATGGTGTTCTATTTATAAATCCCTATGTGATGTCGCATTAGTCACAGTTTATAACCAACACCCCGTATCGATTCTGGCCTAGTATCGTACAAGCGGCCTCTGTCGGCTGTCAAATTTCAATTTTCTATGCTGTGTTGGGAAGTGTTGACATCGAGATGCTGAATTTTGTGCTTCAGAAGAACTTTACGCAGAAGAGCGATTCAGCTATCAACTTTGCCTGTGAATCTACCCTACCATTGGCTTGTTTACAAGCCCATTTCGATTCAAGGTAAAGTTCAAGGTCCTTTATGGCATCTATTTTTCCTGTAAATTTGAAATAAATGTTTTTCCATAAAATCTCGGTCACACTTGTTCAGAATCTTGTTCACCCTCTGAATCCAGTGGCGTAGTGATTTTTTCAATAAAAAATCGCTAATAAAAAATCCCGATTTTCGACTAAGAAAAAATATGGTAGCATGCCCTGAAAAATTGAAAAAACATTCCAAATATCGTCCCAAGGTAGACCTTTTAGTACTTGACATTTGAAAAAAAAATATTGAAATCGGTTTACACCTTCAAATTCGAGGGGGGTGTTTCCATTAAAAATGGGTCACACCGTATATACATTGTTGAATAGAACGTATATAATTCGTTACTATGCAATTCAGTATATTTTTGGGATTTCAAATATACAGGGTGTTCCAAAAGTCGGATTTTAGGTCAAAATAATACTTTTTTCGTAATATGTAATACCACAAGTGGCCGAAAATATTCGGCGATTGTTACCTACCACAGCTTGTCGCCTTGTTCACTCAATGTCATGAGCGGAATTAAAGCAGCATGCTGGAGAATGTCAATCGACGAATATTTCCAGGGAAAATAGCATCTCGATCAAAATTCGTATCAAAATTCCACACCTAACATTTTTGACCAATTAGAAGCCTGTATTTTGTATCTTTACCATAGTAACTCAACAAATTTCCGGAAATTTTTTCCTTCCGCCTTGGGGAAAGGAGCTTGAAATTACACTTCAAATTTTTTCAAGTTTATAGGTCCAATGACATTTACATTTAAGGAAGTATATCTATCAACTTCAGCTGAATGAATTTGTGGAGAACCGAGAGATTCAGCTATAAATGGGCCAGTGGACTGATGAATTATTGACATTCAATTACTCCACTGTAAATATTTCCGAAAATAATTGAATCTCTCGTGACTGCATCCATCATTCTGGCTTCCATCGTAATTTATGTTTTGAATTTAAAAAATTTTATCGCTGAAAAACGAAGTTGGTTGGTCATGTGTGAGTCAATTCGACTTCTGTATTGGTGGAGCAAATTTTGGTAAATATCGCTGGAATATAGGAGACTCCGTGAAAACTGTCGATTCTGATTGGTTGTCGAGAACAAGAGTGGAATAGTGCCCTATAAATATACAGGGTGTGTCAAGAATATATCCAGATTTCTGACCTTTTTCAGAATATTTGATAAAGAAGTCCCAAAAATTGAAAATTTGTATGAGCTCGTTATACCAAGATTCAATACAAAGACCTTTCAGAACCATTTCAGAATGACTCGTGGATGTTTCCATGAGTTATCTTCTCCAGCAGTTCAAGTACCTACCTTTCGTATCTTCTATTTTTTCTCAGTTTTTGATCAAAAGAAAATTAATATGATGTATGTCGAATACCCTTATTTTGTCGAAGCTTCCAAACATTCCACCACTCAATCGATGTTCTGAGATCGAATGGCCAGTGGCACCAGGATGATAAGAAATTCCACAGATTAGTCAATAGAACCGCAATTCTCTTTCACTAATGTCAATTGAAAGCAACTTTTGTTTCAGTACGGAGCAACTACCTGTTGCAGTCCCGGTGTCAGCAGCTGGATCAGCCAGGACTTCAGCCTCCTGCAGCCTAGCCTCGTCCAGAGAATCCTCCACTAGTGCTCCAGGCCCTATTCCCTTCAAAGTTCTCATGCTGGGAGGTCCTGCGGTCGGGAAGTCTTCTTTGGTGATGCAGTTCATGACCTCTGAGTATCTGCATGCCTATGACACCAGTATAGGTGAGAATAGACTATTAGACTGCCTCGAATTGTCATGATCCTCAGATTGAAAACGTCAGTTCTGAAAATTGAATATTGAATACTTTCAAATTACATATTTTCCTAGAATTTTTCGGTCGATTTTCAGGATTTTCATCAATAATGCCATGGTATGTTTCAAGCAATATTTTGGTCCTTCGCCAAAAGCTGTAGGAAGAAACTCCACTTCCAGCTCGATTCATCCTCTAACCAAGGAAGATGGAATACTAGCCACAACTGCCCAGGAAAAAGCCAACATTTTTGGGCAAATATTTTCAGGAAATTCCACTCTGTATTCATCAGAAAAACACCCTCCAAACATAACGCCAATTGACAGTCATATGGCCGAGATCACCTTTCGCCAAAGTACTATAAGGAAGGAATCTCACCGATTGTTCACAAGGAATGTGCTCCCGAACTAACTCCTGTTCCCTGCAAGTTGTTAAACTACTCTTACAAATTGGGTATATTCCCGTCTAACTGGGAAATTACAAGAGTACAACCAGTTCCTACAAAAGGCAATAAACCCTACCTTGCAACTACAGACCGATCGCACTACTATCTATTATTTCAAAGATCATGGAGAGAGCTATCAACATTGAGCTCATGAAATACCTGGATTATTCAGGTATTATCAACGATAGGCAATATGGCTTCCGTCATCAGAGATCAACTGGTGACCTACTTGCTCACGTCTCACATATATTGCAGCAATCTATTGAAAAGTATGGTGAAACCTTAGCCGTGGCACTTGATATCTCCAAGGCATTCGATCGAGTCTGGCACCACAGACTCCTCGCCAAACTTTCATCTTATGGCTTGCCTCCCCAGCTATGGTCTCTGCTGCTAGTTTTCTCTCGAATAGGTCTCTCCATGTAGTGGTCGACGGAGTTTCATTTGACTCTCTCATCATTAATGCTGGTGTTCCGCAAGGATCAATTCTAGCACCAACACTATTTCTACTCCATATCAACGATTTGTTGGAAGCAACTTTTTGTCCAGTACCCTCCATACCGCCTTCTCTCCCAGGGCTCCAATACCAGCCAGGCAAATCAGAAACAAACGAGGGAGAAATTTTGACAACATATATATGGCAACAAATCCCGAATGCAAAAACACAAGCATTCCTTTTCTCTAGAAAAGCCGATCTCACTGTGCCCAACATAAGCTTGTCACTTCTCTGGAACACCGTAAAAAAGTTGGCGATCTGGCTCTATTTCATAGATATTTTCATGGACGATGTTCTTCTGAAATATCAACAATTATTGAAACCTCCCTTGGCAGTCCCCGCGAGATTAACCCGTCGAGTTGAGGCTTTGCACCCCTTCGTGGTCACTTTGGAGACCTGCAGAACATCTCTTTCTGAAGACCCGTTAAACCAACGAGCAGTGAGGCTCTGGAACACATTGCCAAGTGAGGTGTTCTTCGAGGCATATACCTCCAGAAATTTAAGGACATCAATTCCTACCTTATTTTCCTTGATTCACGATGTTCTCTGAACATTACAGGATATCCCTTTTCGTGGGAACCAGAACATAAAAAAGAGAATAAACTTATTATTATTATTATTATTATTAATAATAATAATAATTTCAGGCAGGACAGTGATTGGCATAGCTGCCGTTCGATAAAAAACAATGTATTCACTTTCCTTTTGGACATATATTTTCTCATTATCAGATGATGGTCGAAATTTGACTAGCGTCGGCGGACGGCCGCAAGTAATAACTCTGTGGTAGGGGAACGTTAGTTAACTTGTGTCGAGTCTAATATAAGGAAGGAATTTTTTTTTAACAATCAATCGACCTAGATGAACCTTTTTTCTTGAAGAAGGAGAATTTTTCTTGAGAAAGGAAATATTGTTTCTGCATAAAAAATGAGAAAACCTAACCTATCTATTTTATGAGTATATCTGTACTTGTTTCGTTGACCTGTGTAAAACTTAATGTTTATTAACACCAAATAAAATATTCTATTCTATTCTAACCTAACCGAACCTCACCTCTGGCCTAAACATAGAAAACCCCTGAATGAACCTATTTCCCATAGAGAATATATTTTAGAAATCACTTGAGAACAAGAAAAAAATAAAAAAAAGATGAGCCTCGCACGGATTCGAACCCCGGCCCGCCGGCTTGGCATGCCGATGCTCTGCTTACCTGTGCTTACTGAGCAAACCAGTTGCTTACGAGACGAAGTATGATGAAGTCCTTCAGTCTGCGCCGCATAACGCCAGTCGCATCTACTGCCCACTATAACGTTCTCCCACCACGGAGTTATTACTTGCGGCCGTCCGCAGACGCTAATGAAATTTGCAGCTGGCTCTCCTTCTATACTTTGTTGTCTCATCCAATATTTGTTTTACTAGAATATAAACGATAACTCAATCTTTTCTGATGAGGTCGTGCTCGTGGTTGCCTTTCCAATAAATGCGTCAAAAAACATTTGCCTACTTTCCTTGTACATTAAATGCATTAGAAATGGATAAACATGAAACATTTTATGGCCCATCAATTCATATTAGACAGCCGTTAGTCAAACAAAATTATAATTTATGAGCATAAAGAGAATGGAAACACATTGTAGATAATATTTCCGTTAGTATTATATACATGTATATTGTCGGATTTCTAGAACTTTTACATTAATGTGATAGCCAAAAATTGAGTCCTGCAAGTACCAATAGAATATATAAAATAGGATGTTAGTTATATGTGGAGAAAATCTCATGAGCGATATACAGGGTGTTTCATTACTGATTGGAAATATTTCAACCATTGAATCCCGAACTCAAAATATGAAGATTTTCATTCCAAATCACCTAGATAAAATTTGTCTCCTGTCTTAGTTACAGGGTGTTTTATTCAAAAATTTTGAAATGGTTTTTGCCCAGTTCTTCGAAACTATTCGACGTATCACTTTCATATTTGGAGGGAAGTGTGAGTATTATACACCCAATTGGGTTATGTGAAATAAACTTTCCTAGCTATTATCAGAGGCGTACGACAGGGGCAATTAATTGGTTGATCCCTTCCAGATTCTACGCCACTGGCGGGATTGCAATTCTATCGCAAATTTTCGATTCTCCAAGAAGTTCGACGTAGATATTGTACTATCTCTCCATGGCGATAAAGTCATTATTTTTCGAGATATTTCAAGTTAAACATAAATATGCACAATCATTTTGATTTCAATGTGCATTAATTTTGTCAATATTTTGGATCAATGGATTGTATTCATCAGTAGAATGGAACTTCAATCTATATTAACAATAAAAACATAATTACATAACAGAGCGGTTACAGGGTGTTTAATTATGTAATATATTGAAAAAATTTAAACGCCCTGTAACAGCTTCCGTCTGTTATGTTTTTATGTTAATATGGATTGAAGTTTCATTTGATTGATGAATGCAGTCCATTGATCCAAAATATCGACATTATTGATACACATTAAAATCAAAATAATTGTGCTGCTTCATGTTTAACTTGAAATATCTCGAAAAATAATGACTTTATCGCTATGGAAAAGAAGTACAATATTTACGAAGAAGGTATTGAAGAATCGAAAAATTCTGATAAAATTGCAATTCCGCCAGTGGCGTAGAATTTGGGAAGGATCAACCAGTCACTTGCCCCTGTCGTACACCTCTAGTAATAGCTAGAAAAGTTCATTTCACATAATTCAGTTGGATGTATAATACCTACACTTCCCACCAAATATGAGAGTGATACGTCAAATAGTTTTGAAGAACTGGGCAAAAAACATTTCAACATTCTTGAATGAAACACTCTGTAACTCAGACAGGAGACATATTTTATCTAGGTGATTTGGGTTAAATCTTCATATTTTGAGTTCGGGATTCTATGGTTGAATTGTTCCCAATTAGTAATGAAACACCCTGTATATGATGGTTACCATGGAGTTTTCCCCAGACCCCACCTCTTTAAAGTGGTTGTTTGAGTCTATATGTTCGACTTTATGTTCAGGTCACTATAATGAAGGAATCGACCCATATCCCCCATACTCAGAAATTCAAAACAAATTATACTTGAACTTCATGGATCTGAAGAGATGCGGGTTTTCGCTATACTCTTGCGGTATAAATAAATTTCTCGCCATTTTGAGGTTTGTTTACGTAGAACTTTGTTTGGATAACTAATTTTCAACTGTTTGTAGGTTTTGGTTTGGCAGCAATAGAATTTATGCTAGGGCATGTATGGCTTTTATAATCATAATACTCGTATTAGAGTAATAATTTGATTTTGCAAAATAGCTCAATTAAATCCTTACACTTTGGTATTATGAATTATCAAGGCAAAACTTCATACAGTATTACTTCTAATAAGGGAAATGGTACATTGTGGAACTGAACCACTGATGAATCCATAGGAGATAACAAGAGTATTCCTCGAAGTATTCATTCGTTGCATTCGCACTTTTTCAAGTCATTTTGAGACCTAGTACATTTTCACCTATCCAAACTTGCAAAATCAAATCAAGGTAAGGATTACATATTATTATACATATTGACATCTTTCGCACTTAAAGAATAGATTTATGACCGTTCTCAACAAATTATTCGGATATACAGGGTGTTTCTTAACTGAATGTCAATCGAGGACTCGATTCTTGAACCCATTCAAAGAAGGAAGTTTCATATGAGCACATGACCTAAACGTTCTAACTTTTGAGATACAGGGTGGTAAAGTTCTCAAAAATTACTACTACTACTACACTGAAAAGTTTTTATTCCAAAATACCAAATACGAATACAAAGTTCATAAACTATGAATTGTATTTCTGTAATTTGATCTGAAAAATGAAATCTATTTCTATGCATTGTAATATTGTCATATTGACGATATAGCTATAATCATGTAGTAAAAAGCTTTTTCAAACTCTTGATTGCTTCAAAATGCTGTGGCAGATGATTATATTTTTTTTTGCTTTCGTAAATCACAGAATTTTTGGTAAGCGTT